CAAAGTATCAAAATGTAAGCAAAGGAAAGACAGAAATACACTAGATTAATTAGATAAAGTTTTAGGTAGACATTCTTGATTGCCTTCTATGATAACAGCTATTCAAGCTCATCTTTGAATAATCTAGATAAACCTAGATAATCCTAGATAAATAATCTAGATAAATCTAGATAAACCTAGTTCCTAAACCTTCAGTCAGATCAGTTATGAAAATGTTGAGACAAGATATAGACAATGCCACTGTATTGCTCTGAATATTTCCGAAGGGTGACATTCAACCTCTAATGAAATAATAGTTTTGGATTTCAATCTACTATTACAAATAGATCTACTTACTCTAAATTTAAACAACACTTTGCTAACATATCTTATCCAAAAATACAGCCATAGACTGTCAAATATTTCACTAAAATTAAGAAACTTCCTATAGTATTTTTCTAACTCATCCAACCTGATCATCCTAATTTTAAAAAATTAATTTAATATATGGTAAACACATTTAAATTTCTTTATTCAAGTATTCTTTCATAAATGTTCCCAAACTTCTGAAATTTATTTATAGAAATTTGCCAAAGATCAATAACAAGTTTACCAGCTTGCAAGTTCCAGTAGCTACGTTTTTCCTTTCTAAAAAATCAAGCTAGCATCTGATCATCTCTAGGTACTAGTTATGTTTTTCATTACATTCTCAAATATTACTCAATGATTTCATGAACTACGCAAGACCACTGGTGAAGAAGAGAAGACACTGATTTATATGAAGAAAACGAAATGCACTTAAAAAGTGGTCAGATATTTCACTGCTTAGTTGCTTAACAATTGCCTGTAATTCTTTTAATACTATTGTTACATCTTTTCCAACTTAAAGCCTCTTTTTCCTTACTCAATCAGCCAATTGTAAAATGAGACCTAATAGTACCATACCTCTTAAAAATTTGATGATCTTTTTGAAGCTTAACCTTAATTGAGATATTATTTTTTAAAAACAACTTATGTTGTCTTAGAAACTTCAGCTTACTTTGTGGTTCCAGCCACTGTTTATAAAGTTTCATAATCATCTTTAGTTCTGCATCTCCCCTTCCATCTACTGTATCTATGCTCTGCTTATCTGAGAGTTCCTTTGCATCACCAAATTGGGTTTTTAGAAACTTCTCCTCTCATATTATTTAGGATTGTGTGCACTTATGTTTATTAACTGTCATCTCAAAGAACCATACAGCTGTTCACAATCAAAAACTATAACGTCACTCATTTCTTTTTGTCTTTTACAATTTTCTTTCCTAATATCTAATATATATATCTAATCATGCTCAATGTTTCTTTTCTTCATTACAAAAGCCAATGTAATAAATCCCTTTTCTGTTCATGTTTTTCTTACTAAAAATTATAGAAAAATAGGAAATTTGTTAAAATTTAAATGGTGTTTTGTTTTCCTACAAGGTAACCTGGTTTCACTACCAAACAGAATACCAAGAATATTACCCAATAAAGCATTTTCCATGCAAACAAAGGCTAAGCACATAAACAGCAAAATCAAACTTTTAAACCAATATATTAATAACAACTAACATTGACAGACACTATGTATCATGCACTGTTAGGCCTCTCCCACTGGAGAAAAACTGAGACACAAAGATGTATACTCACTTGCTGAAAGTCATTAGCAGGAGGCAGTCCGGCTCTACAGCCTGACTTTTAATGATCTATTATCTTACAATATTAACAGGCAGCAAAGTCACTATGTATGACACTTAAAAAATTGTTTTTGTAGAGATGGGATCTCCTTATGTTGCCAAGGCTGGCCTTGAACTCCTGGGCTCAAGCAATACTCCCGCCCTGTTCCCAAAGTGTAATCCTTCCCAAAGGATTACAGGTATGAGCCACTGTGCCTGGGCTGATGAAAATTTAAAAGAATGAGATTCATAAAATCATTCAGTAAAAGGCTCGCTCATTGGGGTAGATCAGACTGACAATACCTGAATCCCTGATCCACTTAAATATCACAAAAGGAGACCCCCAGACAGCATATTTCTCGTATGATGCAATATGAACTATACAGTACCATTCTTGAAATATTCTTGCCAAAAGAAAAATCAAAGTTAATGTAATTAATCCTGTAGAACTGTGTTCTCCAATATGGTGGCCAAGTTAGTAATGACCAAATAAGCTAATACATGTTTAAATATGCACAAAAATACCAAGGAATCTGAACTATTAAGAGGTTCTCTTTTGGAGAATAAGACTAGACGAAATGAAGGGCTTTTGGTTTACTTTATGAGGCCAGTGTTGATTGGCTTTGTAAACAACAAAAAATAAAGTATATTTTATGAGAGATCACTCATAGCCATGGTGGATAATTGACAAAGATCTTGCTAAAGAGGTGGGATCAGAACTGGAGCAAAAATTATGGGTATTGATAGGCAGAAAAAATTAAAACAGGTCAGCAGGAGCAGGCAAAGGCATGGATCAGGGAAACATATTAATCTCACTGAAGAGAAAAAATGATGATAAATAAGATTAGAAAGGTGTAGGCTAAATTACAGGGCCTTTCATTGGCTAAAATATTTAGAGTTAATCATGAACAAAATGGAAAACCACTGAAAGTATGGATAAAGCCAAGTCTGAGGAAAACAGTCATTTATAAAACATGAACTAAGTATACATTTAATATATAAAGCAATTCAAAATGAAGCAGCTAGAAGATCATTTATGTATCTAACATGAGGAATGAGCTTTTTTTTTTTTTTTTTGAGATATAGAGTCTTGCTCCGTTGCCCAGGTTATAGTGCAGTGGTGCAATCTCAGCTCACTGCAATCTCCACCTCCAGGGTTCAAGCCATTCTCCTGCGTCAACCTCCCAAATAGTTGAGATTACAGGCATGTGCCACCATGACCAGCTAATTTTTGGATTTATTGTAGATATGGGATTTTACCATGTTGGCCAGGCTGTCTTCGAACTCCTGACCTCAGATGATCCACCCACCATGGCCTCCCAAAGTGCTGGGATTACAGGTGTGAGCCACTACACCCAGCCTAGGAATGAGCTTTGTATAGAATCATCATTCAAACATCATTCACATAAGGAAAGAAGTTGTATTCTAGCACTTCTCACATAGATACTTGTCATAAAAGTGCTGTAAATTTCTAGAGAGTAATAATAACAAAAGCTTTAAAACATTGTACGAGTTCATCTTTACCTGAAAATAGTATAGATTTCTATATCAAAATGACTTAAATATTTGCAGAATAAATTAAACATGCCATCCTAATGCAATCAGGATTACAAATTATATAGCAGTACTCCTGGATAAAAAATAAAAAGTAAAAAAACAGACTTACAAATTATTTAGAGGCTAGGCACAGAGATTCATGCCTATAATCCCAGCACTTTGGGAGGCCGAGGCAGGCAGATCACTTGAGCCTAGGAGTTCAAGACCAGCCTGGGCAATATGGTGAAATCCTGTCTCTACAAAAAATACAAAAATTAGCCAAGTAGGGTGGCATGTACCTGTAGTCCCCAGCTACTCAGGAGGCTGAGGTCAGAGGATCACTTGAGCCAGGTGATGGAGGCTGCAGTGGACCATAATCACGCCACTGCACTCCAGCCTGGGCGACAGAGTGAAACCTTGTCTCAAAAATAATAATAATAATAAAATACTAATACCAGTACTTTCAAAATTCATCACAAGATTATAAGCTATTTATTAAGTTGTTCTTGATTATATATAACAGAAAACCCAACTCAAACAGGTTTAGGCAAATTTATGAGCTCTGAAAACTGAATATTCCATACAATCAGCTAACTTTGGACTCTGACCAAGAGGTTCACAGCATAAACATCAATAAGCAACTCTACTTCTCTACTGTTCTCTATACACATGTAAAATATATACATATATCTATATATCTATAGATGTGGTATGTATATATACCTCTACTGTTCTCTATACACATGTAAAACATATATATGTATATATATGTATGTATATATACCACCATATCTATATATGTGTGTATATATATCTATATACCACCACTTCTATATATATATATGCCATCATATTTATACATAGATATATATAGCATATATAGAGATAGATATGGTGGTGTATACATATAGTGTATATATATAGATATGGTGGTATATATACACATATATATATTTTATATGTATATAGAGAACAGTAGAGGTATATATACATACCACATCTATAGATATATAGATATATGTATATATTTTATATGTATATAGAGAACAGTAGA